CCCCGCCCGTCCCGCAGGTGGCTCCACCGGTTCCCCCCGCCCTCACATTGCGTCACGGACATCGTGTCGTCCATTCCCCGTTTCACATCACGTGCGACGATCCACGTCCGTCATCACCCCGCGCGCCGGCATTCCACCGCTTTCCCACCTCGCCCTCCTCTCCAAACCCGCGGCTGCCAGGCTCTGCCCTTTTTTCCCCTGCGCCGTTTCACGTCGGCGCGCGTCATAGCTGGCCCCACCCGTCCCGCAGGTGGCTCCACCGGTTCCCCCTTGGCCGCTGGCTATTACCGGTCCTGCGCGGGGGCACCCGGTTGCCCTGCCCTTTTTTCCCCTGCGCCGTTTCATGTCGGCGCGCATCATACCTCGCCCCGCCCGTCCCGTGGTTCGCTCGACCGGTTCCCCCTTGGCCGCTGGCTGTTACCGGTCCCGCGCGGGGCACCCGGTTTCTGCTGGGCCCCACGCGAGGACCGCGTTTTCCTTTAGTAGTATAGGGAAGACAACTTTCTGTTTATGATAACGGCCATGCTGAATGTATAGACTTTGTATTGAAGTCATAGCTTTGTCTCAAATATATCCATAATGCCCATGTGTTCGGTTGAGGGAAAACCTCTGATAGTATAACATTGGTAACATTACTGAATTTCCCTCTCGACAATGTGTATGATTGCAGTTTATTGAACATGGGAGGGGGGAGTGGCCACCGCATACACCACAGGAGCCTGATCTGGGGGAGACTGTGGCTGAGGAGGACAAGAACATCACCGAAGGACACCCTGTCTTTGGAAAGGTATGGCTGAGCGACCCTAGTCTGGAGAAGTGGTTATTGTGGTTTTGTTTCCACTCAGTGCCCTCATCCTTCACCCTTCAATTTATTTATTTTGATTTTCTCTTTACAAAAAACAGGTCCTTATGGCCCTGGCTCCGTATTCATTTTGGGGAGCATCAGTCCGGTCCCAATTTCACCTGCAAGCAGGGTTGCATCTGCCGATGGTCAGTGGACCTCGGTCGGTCGGATGCCGACCTGCCGACCGTTTTGGTGGTTGGTGCCGACCGGTCGCCGGTGGTCGGCCTGCCGCACTTCTGCACTGCGGCGCCCTGCACCCCGCAGGCCCAGTTTATGGGGTTCGGGCCGTTACCGGGCTGGTCGCCTGTTCGGGGTGCGGCCTGGGAGGCTGCCGAGTGCCGACGCAGGCATTTCCACGGTTGGTGGCAATGAAAGAGTGTGGCTTCCCACACTTCTCATTCTCCTGCGATGGCATTGTGGGCAGCCGTGAGTGTGCGCAGCCACATTGCCTGGGGAGGTGAGAAGAGTGTCGGCAGGTGTGTTGGAGCAGGGAGACATGGGCAGGGTGGAGGAGATGGGCCATCAGCTTGATGCTTGGTGGCAGGTGAGGTGAGGTGGAGTCCACTCACCTGGTTCGGACATCGAAGGTTTCTGCGTTGTGGCATTCAAGAAAGGCTGCTGCTTTCTGCCTCTTTCGGTCAGTTTTTGTGTGTTTGGAGAGATTGACAGCCGGAGAGAGGGAGAAAAGCTTCCACCTTCCATACTTCTTCTTCTTCTTCTTCTCTCCTCGTTTTTCCCACCACGACACCCCACCTCAATTTTTTTTTTTTACATCGCTTCATTTGCATTTTGTTTGCCCTAATTATTCTACTTCTTCTTTTTCTCTCCTCGTTTTTCCCACCACGACGTCCCCACTTCAATTTTTTTTAAATCACTGCATTTGCAATCAGTTTGCCCTAATTATTCTTCTACTACTACTTTTTTTTCTTCTTCTCATTGAGAAAAAATCGTTTGCTAACTTTGCCCTGATTTTTCTTTTCTTCTTTTTCTTTTTCTTCTTCGGCTTCTTCTTCTTCTTCTTCTTCCTACCATCTTGTTCCTTCTTCTTCTTCTTCTTCTTCTTCTTCTTCTTCTTCTTCTTCTTCCTACCATCTTGTTCCTGTTCTTCTTCTTCTTCCTCCTACCATCTTGTTCCTCATCTTCTTCTTCTTCTTTTTTAATATTCGGAAATCCGTGGGGCAGTGGCCACACAACTCCCACCCCCTCCTCCTCCTCCTCCTCTTCTTCTTATGATTATGATTATTACATGTGGAGCTGCGGCCAAACAGGGGGGGGGGGGGGGGGGGAGGGGGGGAAGGAGAGGGAGGAGAATGTTGTAGAATGTTGGTGTTGCGGATGCGGACGTTGACAGAAAGACAGGAGCAGCAACACATGTGAAGGGACGGCTGGAAAGCAGGTCATGAGGCGGGAAAAGACATGGGTCTGCGTTCAGCCATTGAAATAATTGCCAAGTTTTGTTTCTGTTTCTTGCTCTCTCTCTCTTTCTGTCAGTCTGTCATCCCGATGATGATGGTTCCACTTTGGTTGTTGATGTCGAAGTGTCACGTGTCTGTCTCTCTCTCTGTGTCTCTCTGCGAGTGTATATTTCTATGTTCTAGCGGCAGATTCATTTGATTTTGCTCATCCCATCGATGGATTCCGAAGTACTCTCTCTCTCTCTCTCTCTCTCTCTCTCTCACACACACACACACACACACACACACACACACACACACACACACACACACACACACACACAC